GAATAGAACACTTGAGCATTGACAGTCATTAACAGCATTGACTAGCTATGGAGTGCTTAAATTCTGCAGAGATTACTTTGATATATGTCTCAAAGAATTGATGGAAATAAAAAATATCTCGCTGCATATTGGATGTCCAAAATATATATCTAGAAATATCTGACTCAAAATACATATGTGTCAAATATCTAGAAGAATACATATTCATATCCGGAATTTTAAAAAATATGAGTGAAATGTTTTCAAAAGATGCATTTAATGATACACAGCTTTTACCTCGGTATTACGCCTTGTGGGTAGGAAGTGCCTTCTCATTTTTAAATAGGAATCCCTTTTTTAATTACTTATTTGGATTTCCTAAAAAAATGAACCCAAATGAGATGAGCAGGCTGTTCCATTTTAGTTTGTAAGTGCAAAATGAAGAACACTTAACAATTGTTTAAAATAGAGATGCATATCAATAATAATAAAAATAGACTTGTTTGATATTTTTTTAACTACCAAACTAGGTTCCAACTCTTTGAGTCATCCTAGCACTGGGAGGGGATGAAAATTGGAGTTGAATTTTTTGTCAATACATAGTATTTTCAGATATTAAACAAGTCTATAATTGTTTTCGTTAGTTATCTCTATTTAAAAAGATTTTAACTCCATCTTTGTTTTGATTACCAATAATCGCTGTTCAATTCCTTTCTGTTTCATCTAACTACCAAACAGGTTTTTATTCTCATTTTTATGATGGGTTTCGTAAAATTGGGGTAGCGTTTTATTCCTGAGTTTAATTGTTAATTCCCACTACTTCATTTCCGAAATAGATTCAAAAAATTTACATTACGAACAATCATTACTTTGCATCTCTTTTAACGTTATCCCTTTGCTTGGTTACAATGTTACAATATTGTAGACTCTCCGGAGGGGCTGTCGGTAAAGGCGTCGCTCACACCACTCTCTGGAGATCTGAGGGGTAGTGAGTTTGATCCCGACAGCCAACAAAGCAACTAGCATGTTATCGCAGCAAGGTGCACAATAGATCTGTCATGGCTGAAAATCATCTCGTTGGTGGTGGGGTTGAATTTTGGAGAAGGGCACTCTCATTATCATCTGACCAGGATCAAAATTAAGTGGCATTCCTACCATGGCCATAAAAAGATCGAGCCCAAAAATAGGGCTTGGTGCTTGGCCCATGGTTGGTTGATGTGTATGTGTGTTATAAAATTGTAAGTTATCTATTATATTAGTAGTATTGAAACGAAACCACTTACCTTATACTGTCTCATTAAATTCTATGAGTGATTTTAATGTAGTTAAGGAAAAAACTTTAAATTAGTAATAAAACTTAGTTATTTTCAATTTATTCAACTATTAACTTATGCTAAATTGAAAATTAAATTTAGTTCTAATTTATCTATCAATTGCGTTCTTTGACTTGCTTTTCTTTACTTTATTTTTTTTCTTTTTACTTTTTTCTGCTTGTTATTTTGTTTTAATCTTTTAAGGATATTTATTATTGCTATATTTTTGTATCAGAGATTCAATTATCAACAGTTACATGTTTTATTTCAAAAGATTAACAAATAAAATGCATGCCCTCTTTTGATTTTCTATTTTTGTAATTGTTTTTACTTGTAAATCCCAGCGTATTTTTAAGCTTTGTTCAAGCATTTTGTTCAGCTACCATCACTAATAATATATCAGTCAGTAAAAAATAAAAACAAATGTTATGAAACAATTTTTTTTTAAGTTGCGGAGCAAATAAAAGTGTTATACAATGAAGAATTCAGTATACAGGAACAATAAATAAGAGTTTGAAAGTGTATGTTATAAATTTAAAAAAAAAACAGCATCAAAATATTTATATGCTATATACAATTCATATAAAAATATTAAATATTTCATAAATGTTTGCATTTTATGCTTTGCATTAACATTATTTTCAATTGACTTTTTCTGTAATGTTTTTGCCCGCGGGTTTTAAGTATCTTTTAAAATACAAATATTTGTATTTGTTAAAAACAAGCTAAACAATGTAAAAGGTTGAAGCATACGACAGATACTTTTTTTAAAAAATGCAATTATGTAAGGTGTGTTTAGAAGATGCATTTATCAAAAAAAATTATTTCAAACATATGTTAGAATAAAATTGTAAATATGATTAAGCCTTTGTCAAAAAAGAAAACAAGTTAGATGACAGAGAAAACGAATTATTCGAAACAATAATTTATTTAGTTATTTTGATAAGTAAATTTCTATTTTCATGTTTCTCAATGGACATGTAAAATACATTACTAATATTTTAGATTTGTTAACATGAATGTTTTGTCAACATTCTATTGATAATGTCTAAAAACATAATTTTCTGTACTGTAAATCAATGAAAACATAAAAACTTTATAAAATTTAAAAGCATTAAAAATTAATAATACGCTATCCCTTTTATACTGAAGTATTAGCATTTTTTCAAATTTAATTTGACTGAATATTGACTTGTCAGATTAGGAATATCTTTATATCGTGTTTTGAAAAAAATCTCTGTACTAGAACAGAGTATTTTGAAATAGGTTTAGCTATATTTTGGGCATACTTTGCTTAGTCAAATAAATATAAATACATTTCTCTATGTTTTAAAATACTAAAAAGTCTAAAAGAAATATCGTGAAATGAAAAAAAAACATTTTCTTATAGTATTTATTGTCATTTCAGGCAAAAACTTTTTTTTTTAACTGCTACTGAGGGTTTAGAAAATTATACTAAAAAGATTGTTCCGTATTTGTAAGTTACGCTCTTGGCGTTCGAGCATCTCCCCTTGGCACACTGTAAATACGCCAACTTGGCAAGCAGTCTATGTTTGTACGCCATTACAGTCTACGCTCTACACCCGAAAGGGAAACGCAAATAAACTCCTTTTAAATACAAAACGCTTTCTCTCTCATTTTACGCTACCTCCGCACATTTTGGTCCTAAGCGACCCGGAGGTATCCAGAACCTATGGAATACTGAATAAACGCTTTAGATTGAATTTAATAAATTCATCCCGCTAAAATATGGCAAATATCATTGCCTTAAACCGCAAGAGTGGCAGCATAAAAAGCCAGCTTACAAAACTAAATACGTTAATTAAACTCCCGAAAATCCCACTTCCTTTTTTCAACGGAAAATTCGAGGAATGGAACTTGTTCAAAACGCAATTCAATAGCCTAATTAGTGAGAATCCGGAACTTTCGGAAAACGAAAAACTGCATTACCTACGAGGATCCTTAAGGGGTGAAGCGAAGGTAGTAGAAACGTCAGACGATAATTTTGAATCATTATATAAAGCCTTAGAACAACGATATGAAAATAAAAGACTTATAGTTGATTGCCACATCAAAAACATACTTAAAATCCAACCTATTAAACAAGAATCTGCCAGAGAACTTCGTAATATTTTGGACAATATCAAGAAAAATCTTAGATCATTAAAAATACTAGATTTCAATAGAGACAAACTTTCTAATGTTTTTTTATTAAATATCATTCTGGATAAATTAGATCGCGAAACTCGTAAACAATTTGAATTGACTCTTGAAGATAATGAAGTTCCTGATTTTGACACATTTTTAGAATTTTTAGAAAGAAGATACCAAATATTAAATAGTATTAATGCAAACATCCCATCTAAATTTAATTCTGATCGATTGAAGTCCTTTTTAGTTAAATCGAACAAATTTCAAAAATTATGTTTCGCGTGTAAATCTCCATCACATGCATTATATCATTGTGATGAATTTAAAAGGATGAAATTATCAGAAAGAATAAATTTGGTGAATAAAAATAAACTCTGTTATAATTGTTTAAGCGATTTCCATCCTTTCAATCAATGCAATTCGAAAAGTGCTTGTTTTGTGTGTAAGAAAAAATTAAATCATCACACATTGCTTCATGAATATTCTACACCGTCAATCGTGACAACTAGTCATAACATTCAAAGTGAAACCAGACTCGCGACGCCTACTCACTCTCGAGAAAGAAATCCACAAATTAACAATTCAGAATCAATTAATATGCAGGTGCCAGAAAACCCTCGTCTTTCGTTTTTCTGTGACGGAAATAAGAGCATTTTGATAAACACAGCAATAATATATGTCAGAGACGCTTGGGGAGAATTCAAACCCTTACGAGGTGTCCTTGACCAACACCTCCTAGAAGTAGTAAGGCCTCAGCACGGATCAATTTTGTAGTCCGATGTGACGAAGTTAACTGCGCAGTAGCCAAAAATTAAGTAAGAAGTCATTACGTTAGGGGAATTAAGCTGCGCAGTGGTTGAAAATACAGAATATGTCATTACGTTAGGACTACTAAGGGATATTTATGGTAACCCGTGCTGAGGCCTGTTCTTTCTAGGAGGTGTTGCCTTGACTCAGCTAGCGAGAGTTCTTTCCTCTCCTCCTCCGCTGCAGACTTTTTGGGTTTGCAAAAAGAAAAAATAAACATTCCTATTTGCGGTTTGAATGATACATCATTAAATATAAAGAAAAAAGTATCTGCTTTCTTATCGAATGAAAATAAGGATTCGCAGTGGGAGATAGATTTATTAATTGTTCCCAATATAACAAATTTCACACCTTTAAAAAATTAAATGTTTCGAACTTAAACATTCCCAGGGAAGTTAAATTAGCTGATCCATCATTTTTTATTCCTCAAAAAATAACATTCTATTAGGCGCAGAGTTGTTCTTTTCATTATTGAATGACGATAAAATAAAACTGGCAGACAACTTATTCTTGCAATCAAGTTGTTTTGGCTATCTTGTTTCAGGTATTATTTCAGACAATAATTTTTATAACACTTCTAAACATTGTTTTTTAACTAAAAACTTAGACATTCTTAATAATACTCTCAAACGATTCTGGAAAATTGAAGAAATCGAATCAAACGAAACTTGCAGCGATGAATTAAAATATTGTAACGAACATTTCGCGAAATCGCATTATAGGAAACTGGATGGTAGATACGTTGTGGAAATGCCATTCAAACCTGATTTTTCCGAAGAAATGTTAGGAAATTCTAAGACAGTCGCATCAAAGAGACTAGACCAGTTATGGACGCGTTTAGAACGCGATCCAGCCATGCAAACGCTTTATTCAGATTTCCTCAGCGAATATGAATTATTACAACATATGGAAGAGGTGAATGAAATTTCAGATGTCGAAACCGGATACTATCTACCACATCACGGTGTCTTACGCCCATCAAACAAAACTACTAAACTTCGTGTAGTTTTCAACGCGAGTTCGAAAACTTCCAGTGGACATTCTTTAAGTGATTTATTGTGCAAGGGAGGAGTACTTCAAGAAGATCTCTTCTCGATCCTAATTAGATTTAGAAAACACGCTTATGCATTTACAGCAGATATAAAACAAATGTTCAGGATGATGGAGGTCAATCCTTCGCAAACCAAGCTTCAAAGAATTCTGTGGAAGAACAATAAAAACGCGCCTACTAAAGTTTATGAGTTGTGAACTGTAACATACGGAACCGCATCAGCTCCATACTTAGCTACAAGGGTTCTGCAACAACTTGCCCTAGATGAGCAGAAGGACTTTCCTATAGCGTCAAAGGCAGTACTTCAAGATTTCTATATGGACGACTGCCTCTCTGGTGCTCCAGAACTTAGCGAGTTCGAAAAACTCAAATCAGAATTAACACAGCTGCTCCAACGAGGAGGCATGACTTTGCACAAATGGTGCTCCAACAAGGCATCGTCAACTGAACTTAAGGAATTCTCGCTTGACCGAAATTCTGATGAGATAATGATCAAAACTTTAGGAATGCTTTGGAACAGTTTAACTGATTCATTTACGTATAAGGTTACTACCAGCACAGATTGCAACTACACCAAACGAGATGTGCTTTCACAAATAGCCCGCATCTATGACCCACTAGGACTCCTAGGACCTGTCATTGTCAAAGCTAAAATATTCATGCAGCAATTGTGGTTGCTTCAATTGGACTGGAACGAAGCACTACCTCCAGATGTGTCCAAACAATGGGAAAACTTCATCAAAACTCTACCAGATATCGAATCCATTCATGTTCCCAGATGTTTCTTGGAAGTTAGCGCAAGGTTCGTAGTGTTACACGGATTTGCAGACGCATCTTCAAAGGCTTATGGAGCAGTGATTTACATACAAGGTGTATCTAACTCCAATGAAGTAACTACCCAACTTCTTTGTAGTAAATCGCGGGTTGCACCAACGAAATCCATGACAATCCCTAGACTTGAGCTTTGCTCCTGTCTACTTCTCTCAAAACTTACACAGAAGGTCATAGCTGCAATAAGACTCGAAATACACTCAGTTATATTATATTCAGATTCAACGATAGCCTTAGCATGGATAAACTCTCCTTCTAATTTGCTCAAAACATTTGTAAGCAACCGAGTGTCTCAAATTCAGCAACTATCCAAAGATTTCCAATGGAAACATATTCCATCAGAGCTTAACCCCGCAGACTTGATTTCCCGAGGACTTGATGTTAAGGCCCTTGCAGCCAGTGAACTGTGGTTTAAAGGACCAGACTTTTCGAAATTAAACTTACCTGATCTTCAGAGTGTGCAAATTTCCAGTGGCTCAACCGACAAACTTTATATTGATGAGTTGAAGCCAGTTTCCAAAATAACTTTGACTTTAATTAATGACTCTAAATTTTTAGATGATTTTCTAGTTATCACTAATGATTTTCAAAAATTAATCCGAATTCTAGCATTTATTTTTAGGTTTGTCCATAACTGCAAATTTTCTGAAAAGGTAAAAGGATTCCTCACACAGGAGGAATACAGGAACGCGGAAAATGTGCTCTTAAAAATTGTACAGGTGAAGTATTTTTCTTCTGAGATCTCTGCTTTAGAAAAACGATCGCCAGTTCCATCTACCAGTAAGTTAAAATTTCTTAATCCCTTCATAGATCCATCCGATGGACTAATTAGGGTAGGTGGCAGACTTGCGCATTCTAATTTAAATTTTAATCAGAAACATCCAGTTATTCTTCCGGCAGGAAATAAATTAGTTAAACTCATATTTCAGTACTATCATAAACGAGATTTCCATGTAGGCCCTCAAGCCCTTCTAAATACTGTGCGTTTAAAATATTGGCCCATTGGTGGCAGGAATGCAGCACGCAAAGTCGTTCACGAGTGTGTCGAATGCTTCAGAAACAAGCCAGTTGTCGCAAATCAAATTATGGGGGACCTTCCCGCAGAAAGAGTTACACCTAGCTCAGCATTCTTAAATGCAGGAATTGATTTATGTGGACCGTTCGAAATTAAATACAAGGGACAGAGAAAGGGTACTCTTCAAAAAATATATGTTGCTTTATTTATATGTATGGCGACCAAAGCTGTACACATAGAGTTTGTCTCGGATTTAACATCCGAAGCTCTAATCGCAACCTTAAAAAGATTTTTTGCGCGTCGTGGCAGAAGCTCCATGATTTTTAGCGACAACGCGACTAATTTTACAGGAGCTTCCGCAGAACTTAAACGCTTATACAAATTAATGTATAGTAGCGAAGACGTTTCGAATATGCTTTCCTCCGAAGGCATAAGATGGAAATTTTTGCCTCCTAGGGCTCCCAACTTTGGCGGTCTTTGGGAGGCAGGAGTGAAATCTTTTAAATATCATTTTAAGAGAGTGGTAGGCTCCGCAAGACTAACGCTTGAAGAGTTTTTAACAGTAATCACTCAAATAGAGGGTATCCTCAATTCGCGACCTCTCACTCCTCTACCGTCTGATACTGACGAATTTCAAGTTTTAACACCGGGTCATTTCCTTATAGGAAAACCTATAAATTCGATACCAGAACCTAACTTCATCGACAAAAAAGACAATCTTCTTAATAGATGGCAAAGGGTTCAAAAATTAGTTCAAACTATTTGGAGACATTGGCAAAACAGTTATTTGAGCCATTTGCAACAACGCTCAAAGTGGCTGCTCAAAAAGCAAAATTTATGTCCTGGCATGCTAGTTCTTGTAAAGGACATCCAACTTCCAACCTATCAGTGGCCTTTAGGTCGAATCATTAGAGTAATTTCAGGTTCAGATGGCAACGTTAGAGTTGCAGATATTCGCACAGCGAAAGGAAATTTTCGAAGGCCAATTTCAAAAATTAGCATTTTGCCTATAGTAGATAATTTTGAGTTGAATTGAAATGTTCATTTGTATCTGTTTAATTATTACACTGATTGTATTCATTTACTAATTGTATGGTTATTTAGTTGTTTTATTTCTTTTACTTTCATTTGTAAGAATAGTGATGTAACTTTATATATATTTTTCCTTATTGAAACATGCATATTTCAACGCCGGGCGGGATGTTCCGTATTTGTAAGTTACGCTCTTGGCGTTCGAGCATCTCCCCTTGGCACACTGTAAATACGCCAACTTGGCAAGCAGTCTATGTTTGTACGCCATTACAGTCTACGCTCTACACCCGAAAGGGAAACACAAATAATCTCCTTTAAATACAAAACGCTTTCTCTCTCATTTTACGCTACCTCCGCACAAAGATTAAGGCGAATAAAACAGAAAAGAGCATTATTATGCTAAATATACAAACTATTTAGGTTTCATTTATAGCCCTTAGAAGTATGAACTAGCATCAATGTGATACTGAAGCTCCTTCTACGATTAATTCAAATTAGTACACTCAAAGATATTGATAGCACTAGTGTTATTATTATCCAGTTCTGCTAAGGCATAGAGAAGAGGGAAAAAATTATATATCTTCACAAGGAACAACATGGGGATAAATCCGGTGAACGTGAGGGCCATGACAAAAAGAAACACTCCATCCAACGATATGCTTGCTCCATCCAACGATGTACTGCTGATGCAATCCGCCTTCTGCTACTCTGCATGCTGTACCAACACCACTTATTCCGATTGAACACATTATACACAAAACGCTTCTTACTTGCCCTTAAACACCATTTTAAACAGCTTACAGTTTTCAGCCAGATATATGCTGCAACCTACGGCTAATTAATATAGTAAAAAAAATTACAATTTAAAAATAGTTAAATTACAAAAATTACAATTTAAAAGCATCAACGTAAGAAATACCGAGTAAGCGTGAATCATTACTTTAAAAAAATAGCAGTGCATAGAATGCCCTGCATTTCGTAACTTCCCTAACCTGCAAAGAAATTGGAACAATCGACTTATACTGAAAAAGAGATTAAAAATGACGGATCAGAGCTGCATCATTGTTTTTTTTTAATAATCTCGAACCCCAGAAGAAATCATGAAGAGCTTTGTATTTATAACTTATCTTTTCATTCATTTATTATTTTGACCTACACACTTTTAGAATTTTTTTTTGTCACAAATATCTTCTTATTGTATTTTCTCATGGGGTAAAAAATACCCCCAAAGGCGTGAGAAAAAAGTAAACTATAGCCTTCAAGGCATTGCAATGTAATCTTCTACGCTGGGAAACATTTACGCGAAATATGACATTTTCTCAGCAGTGTTTTCTTTAACTATTTTCGGATATTGAATCGAATGTTACATATTCCTCAAACCTGTCGTGAACACATTGCACTTGATTGAAATTCTACAAAAGTTCCAGAAAAGTTATTACAAGTTTAAGAAATCAATCAAAGAGGAAACATTAAATATCAATTAAGAATGTTAAAACCATTAACCTAATTCTTCCTATTTTTAATCATAGATAATAGAAATTGCTAGTTTCGCTATAGAATATGAGATAAGCATATAAAGATTTTTATCCTTAAAACTGTTTTATCCAAGATTAAACATGAAATGTTAAAGATTTTTTTTCCTTAAAATTTTGGTATTATTATTAAAATATCGGATTTTAACAAAATATTTGTAAGAAAAGACTTAATTATGGCCACCTTTAAGATAAACGGTCCGGAGAGAATCTGCAATGTGCAAAATAAATCATCCATAATAGTTTTTTTATCTAATGATTGGATCTCTTCGAACTAACTAGTGGACTCAGGAAATTAACTTAATTTAGCCTTTTAGTTGTATATCATAGGGACTTTCACCCCTCAATAAAATTAAACACATTCACCAGCCATTTGCAAGAAAAAGCATTAAATTGTGAGCTTATCAAGTTAAGTTTTTCCTTTGCTAACGGTGTAGTGGTGTTTTACTAGCTTCAAGTTAATACTTCAGCACACATTTCACATTCTCTAAGAGCTATTTCCCTTTTCTTAAACCAATTTTTAATAAAACTGCTGCTATTTACAAATATTATTAATTGAGCCGTGGTGGCTCAGGGGATTGAGCGCTCGCCTCCTAATGATCCAAGCAATGTCTGGTCTATACAAATTGTGCACCCGGCTAGCACCTACCAAAGAGATGTCGTGATGTATCCTCAATGGTAGACGGATCATGGGTTAGAGATCCCCTACGTGAGAGGTTTTAGTGGTTTTCCTTTTCATGTAACGCAAATGTGATTTAGTTTCATCAAAAAATCCTCAGCGGGGGCAAGTTTCTCTCAATATTTGATGCAGGAGATCCTTAGTTTTTTAGATTGGGTTGAAAGTTCCGTGGCTACGGAATTTAATACTAGTTGTCGCAAACTCAAAATTGGGTAAGATGTTCAGACACGAATATAATCTAACATAATATAATGCAAAATAATATTAAATCAATCTTGAATACTTTTTAATTTATTTTGTTTTTATTTCCTAGCTATTATTCGATATTTCAATCAAAATACTAATTCAAAACTTTAAAATAGTAAGGACTGAAATATTAACATTTATGAATAGTGCTTGTAATATTTAAACGGTTAAATTATTCGACAATTTATTCATAGATTTTTTTTTTACTTACAAGAATATGGACGATAAATTTATTCAAAATTATTAAAAACAAATAAATTTTTTGTCATCTTGCAACAATAAACAAACATTACACGAACAGCGTTTTTGAATGTGATCTGTTGACTTCGTTATAATCAGCGCATACTTCAAATCCTAAACATCTAAAATCATCAACATATATCTTTATCTCCTGAACGTTTAGAAACATATCAAGCATATCTAATGATTTTAATAAAGTTTTTCGATGAAAAATGATGATGAACTATTGATTGTATTTTAATGCAATCTTTATGAAAATCTATTGTTTGATTTTGAAGGAAAATGTATTCCTTTATGAGGAATTATGTAAATTTCTTATTAGGGTTTTTACCTCTCTTAAATAACAATCGTCGCAAGATTGTAAGAGCGCATGGAGAAAAACAATTCTGGTAAAATGTCCATACTATATGGCAATAGCCTTTCTGGTTTTAAAAAATAAATAAATGAAAATAAAAAATATTAAACCGAAATATTTAGTAATCGAACTATTGATTTTATAGTTTTTCCTTTCATGAGATAATGATTTTCCATAAATTCTGGTTTGGTTTTTAAAATTATAGTTCTTATTATCGCACATTTAGCAAAAATAAGAATAAAAAATTGAAAGCAAATTAGATAGCAATAAGAGATTTATTAGCAATAGATTAAGAGAAAGCAAATAAGAGATTTACTAATTTTTATCATATACTATAAAACTATATTTCGTTAATTTGACCAAAGCGCTTCGGTAAAATTTACCGATCTTTTCAGTGCTCCTGTAGAGCCAAATGCATCATAAATTTTACCATATTCCTGCAGCATACATTTTGGAGAAATAACTTTAACTGTACTTGTAGAACTTTGACCGTATCAAGATGTACTAGTACATTCTTCAAAATTTCTTTATGCATTTCTAGATTTGTACGCCCATGCCAACTGACTATGATGAGTAGGAAAAAGTGTTCCGTCCCCCATAAGATTTCAAACAGTTTCAAAAAAGTCAATCCATGAGTAAGACTTTCCTTACATCTCCGTTCTTTAAAGTTTTCTTATTTATCACCACCATAAATATTTTAATTTAACGATCTAGAATCTTCTAGAAATTGAAAACGTACTGTAAACGAATTTAGAAAATATTTATATGTAAATGAATAAAATCTGTAAATGGAGTAATCAACAGAAAAACTGAATAAGTGATCCACGACCCGAATCGAATTCTTAGTGAATGTCTTAAAATTAAGAAATTACGTCACCTAGGGTAATTTGCACCTTTGACGGGAAAACTTATTCAATATCACATAAACTGTGCTCAATTTCAGGCTAGCAACTTTTTCTTATTGTCATGTGAACTAGTACGCTAGCGATATCTCGCAGGTGATTTTGACATTAAACAAATTGAGTTTACCAACTTGATACATTCGAATGGTCCCATACTGGAGAATCCTTTGATAGAGTTATCTCCCCCTGTCACGTGACGAATTGAATGTCGGAAGCGAGTAGCTTCGATTTGTTTGTATGATATTCTAGTAGTCCAGGGTCACAAATTGTGCAGTACACTGAGCACTCATGAAGGGAATAGAGGAAATATTGTGGTGTCAATGCTGGGACTCGAAGTCCGTTTATTAGATAGACAGATTAGCTCTTTCAGCTTATAATATCTACCTAGCAGTAAGGAACTAAGTGTCTGCATTTGGTCTAGTAGGTGAGATAAAATCTGTTTTAAAGGAATCGTATAAAGGGAAATCAGCTAATAAAAGGTTTTTTTCTCAGTTTCGAATTTGAATACCATCTAATTTATGGTTATCTGTCTGTTTTATTTGAATATGGTAAAATAACAATTAAATAAATTGTTATTTAACTATTTTCTGCAAGAGATTTATTTCTAACAGTGTAAATTTTCTTAAAAAGTTAATAAATTTGACTGTCATTTGATATTCTAGTTTCTTGCGTAAGACGCATTAAAAATTCGGCGTCTCCTTAATAAAAATAACTTCTAATGAAGTTATCTTAATATTCTTGTTCCTTCTTTGATGCCCGTATTATGTAATTCTCTCTGATTTACGAACGGATTCTTCTTCTACAAATTTAAAAAATAATATATTTCTCATACTAAGTGAAACACTCGAAATGTCGTTATAAACAATTCATATTGTTTTCGTGTGCATTATATATTCAAAAGCGCATTCCGAAATTTCTATAGTCGAAATTTTTTTTCCATCTGAAATATCTCCATCAAGTAATTTTTATTGTAAATCAACGTTTCTAAAAGTTGTTTCTCTCGCAAAGCTAATCACATCTTAGAATGAGAGAAAAAAATCATGGAACGTA